TAATAACCATTTAAAGCTATTTTTGTGTCAACAAATATGTGGGATTATGTTTAAGAAACTTAAGAATTTTATCAGAAAGTGTTGATATAGTGTAATATGACATCAAAAAATTAGAAATGATTATATGCTTCTAAAAAATTAAAGAATTTGCTTAGAAAGACCCGATAGAGCGATATAGTACACTTAGATATTAAGAAAGAACGTAAACTGAACCATTCATTTTTTTAATTTATAGTATATCAGTATTTAATATAAGTAGTACTAGCATTACAAATGCTTCAGATAAATGAAACTTGACTTTCACAGTTTCTACAATTAAAAATTACGTATTAAGATCAATTTAAAATTCTATTAAAAATATGGGGTGCGGCTAATTTGAAAGACTTTAATAAAAATCATTACTACATTAACGATAGTATAAAATATAAAAAATATATATATAAAACAACAAAATTTATATTTTTTTTTTATTATTTTAATTAATCGAATTTTTGGCTGACCATTTTGGCTGAAGCCTTTTATTAATTAATGAATTAATTTCGATTTAATAAATGTTTATAACTACTGATAGCAAAAAGGTTTTTATCAGATATATACTTCTTCTATTACATTATTGTATACAAAGTTATAGATATATATAAATCTTAAAATATACATAAATCTTATAATTTAAGGCAAACACTGGTTTAGACATTTATCTTTACACTACTTTTATGTTATTTTAATTTTGAAATTATTCATAAATTTAATATATATAACTAAAATACATTTAATTATTTCGCAAATTTCAAATATTTGCAATTTATTTCATATGCGCTTTTAATAATAAACATCACAATGCTTTCTTTTTAGCGGAGAATGATGAAAAGAGTTTAATAGAGATTATAGCAACAGTCCTCTCAATCACACTCCTGGTTTTAACTTTTCCCATCTCGATATTCATATGCTTTAAAATAGTAACAGAATATGAAAGAGCGATAATATTTCGTATGGGTCGTTTACGCAGTGGCGGTGCCCGTGGACCTGGGGTTTTCTTCATTTTACCATGCGTCGATGACTATTTTAAAGTAGACCTGCGTACAGTGTCTTTTAATGTACCACCTCAAGAAGTACTGACTAGAGATTCAGTGACAGTATCTGTAGATGCTGTAGTCTACTATCGAATACACGATCCACTAAAAGCCATCATACAGATTTCGAATTACAGTGAATCCACACGATTATTGGCAGCAACTACATTACGTAATGTACTTGGAACACGAAATCTTTGTGAAGTATTAGCAGGTCGTGAGGAAATTTCACATACAATGCAAGTATCTTTGGATGATGCCACAGAGCCATGGGGTGTTAAAGTCGAACGTGTAGAAATGTAAGTAACTATTTTATATATTTATATATATCTTTATAAATAACTTATAGAAGTAATTTTAATTATAACAAAAAAATATTTTTTTATAGTAAAGACGTTTCACTACCAAAATCTATGCAACGTGCAATGGCTGCTGAAGCTGAAGCAGCTAGAGATGCTAGAGCTAAGGTTATTGCCGCTGAAGGTGAAATGAAGTCATCA